AGTTTTTTTTTCTGTAAAAATACTGCACAGAGGGGTTACAGTTACATGAGCAAGGTAATAAGTACATTTCCTATCAAGCATTGTTGCCTCCTCCTTTGTTTTTTCCCCTACCATCCCTTCCCTCCCACCTCCACAACTATACTCCTTCCCCAACCTACATTGTAAACTTTATTTTTCAACACAGTGTCTTGTACATCTCATTGTTACAATGGGTCAACCTGTATCCCTATTTAAACATTTTGGTTTTTTTTTTCCCTTCCCCTCCCCAAAATAGACCAACATCAAATACAGTGAAAACAGGGGAAGGAACATACAAAGCAACAAAAAATTCACATGATACATTATAAATACATTAGAAACAACAGGCAAGAAAGAAAAAAACCACTTGTGTCCCTATCTTAAGCAGTATTTTGTTTCTTGCTTGAGGTTTTGGGGGATGGGAAGGAAGGAGTTGGAATGTCGTTCTGTAATATAGCATTTTTGAAGATGAAATATCAGTTAGAGACTTATTTCCCAATGTCAGGAACAGAACTCTTTCCTATGTTAAAAAATATTTATGAAGGGGCTGAGAAGTTGGCTCAGTGGTAGAGTGCTTGCCTTGCATGCATGAGTCCCTGGGTTCGATTCCTCAGCACCACATAAGCAAAAAGAAAAAAAGCCTGAAGTGGCGCTGTGGCTCAAGTGGTAGAGTGCTAGCCTTGAGCTGAAGAGCTGAGGGACAACACCCAGGCCCAGAGTTCAGGCCCCATGACCGGACCCCTAAAAAAAAAATATTTGTGAAGAAAATTGTAGACTCACATTCATTTGCAAGAATTGATGTCATGAGAGCTCAGAAACATTTTGCCAACTTATCTCCAATGATAACGTTTTGCACAACTGTGATAGGATATCATGCTTAAGGTATTGAGACTGATACCAATTTATTGACCCTTATTTAGACTTCTCCAGTTTTACTTGTACTTACTGTGTGGAGTGTGTGAGGGGAATGGATTTCTGTAAGTGTTTTTTGTTTTGTTTTGTTTTGCGTTGCATAGTTTTGGTGCCGGTCCCGGTGCTTGAACTCAGAACCTAATTGCTGTCCTTTAGGCTTTTGTGCTTAAGGCTTGCATTTCAAGGCTGACACTGTATCACTTGAGCCACACTTCCAGCTTTTTGGTGGTTAATTAGAGATCAGAATTTCATGGATTCTCCTGCTCAGAATGGCTTCAAATCATGATCCTTAGATCTCAGCCTCCTTATTAGCTAGGATTACAAGCTACCAATGCCGAGCTTCTGCACAGTTTGCCCCTATGGACCTTTGTAAAGGTCTAACCATCACTGGCTATTGGTAGATGCTGCTAATTACTGCTCTTTCCAGTATTAAAGATGTTATTTCATTTTCCAGGTGTGGTAGTGATATCCACCAAAAGCAAGCTCCACTTCAGCCCTATTGCTTGTATTTTTGGTTGCTCTTTGTAAGATAGGGTGTCCCTCTCTTTATCTGAGTTACCTTCAAACTTAAACTCCTTCTCCCTTTGTTTCCTGAGTAGCTATTTCATAGGAGTTAGAACAATGGCAGATGCCCTGCTTTAAGAAAATAATCTCTTTCTAGACTGTAAACCTCTTTGAATGTAAGGATCACTGATTGTTTTTGGTGTAGCCTCTTATGAAAGCATGGCCCAGAGCTTTCTTCTGGACCATGCACAGAGATGGTTCATTCATGTTTAAAAAATATAAATATATGTTGTTCAAAAGAATTGAAAAGTAAGAGTGTCTTAGATATTTTCTTTTTTTTTTTTATAGAGACCAGTATTTTTTCAAATCTTACATCCTTATTCTATTTACTTTCAAATACAGTACATGAAAGTACTTCATAGACGTTTGATCTTTGGAAGGTAGTGTGCTGCCTTTGATTAAAAAAAAGTAATAAGGTGATCACTTCCTGGTAGAGGTAATCATCAAAGCTTGCAAGTACATACTGGCTTTCAGCTATTGTATTTGTAACTGCTCTAACCCGTCCCTCATCCATCTGTTCCTGTCCTTTCTTCCCCACTCCTGCCCTTTGTTCTTCCCCCTTCTCTCCTTCTCCTGTCCTTTCTCTTATCTGTTTCTCTTTTCATCCCTCCTTGTCTCTCTCCATACCCCACAATTATTATGAAAGACAGTTTTATAAACTTCTTTCTCTTAGGATCAACATTTAAAGCATTCTACTTTAATCTAATGGACCATGACAGAAAGTGGTAAAATTATAGTAGTTGTGGGTTTTATTTGAAAAAATGCTAGAGATGATTCATAAATTCTTTGAAGAGGAAGAAAACAAATAAAATTGCTGTGTTTTCATATAATCAGTGATGCCCGTTAGGAATTTATATCTTCTAGGTGTTGAGATTAACTTTTTCTGCTTTCTTTTGGCTTTCTGTATTTGATAATTTGAAAAAGAATATGTCCAAGGAGTTGATGGCATCTTACCAGTGCGCTTGGGGAAGCATTGATATGATAGGGATGATGAGTATGGAAACAGAAAACTGGCTTCTGATATTGGAATTATCCATCTTCTACACTTCAGGTCCCACAGGACTCTGAGTAAATGTGCTATTCAAAGAAGTTAAACTCTATGGTTCCTTTGGAAAGGATAGAACGATAGTTGCCATTTTATTTTAGCTGATTTATTCACTTACTCATGTACTTATCCATATACATATTGAATACATATGGTGTTCCATGCATGGAAGTAAAAACACCCTATGACGCAGTATTTTCTTACAGTGAATTCACATGGTTGAATTTATTGTGGTTGACCCCTAATGGACCATTAAACTTTAAAGGTCTTCATCCTTCACACTGAGCTAAGTTTTCTTCAATTCATTCACCACTTCTCACATACACATCCATTCCCTAAACCCTCAGAATCTGAGATATATCCTGGTTAGTGAACAAAGGTAGGAAACTTATTATAGCAATGACCTTCCTGAGAAAGAAAAATGCCAACCTCTTCTTGGGATATACAAGGAAGATATGACCAGCATTTACATGAGACTCTTAACTAATTAAGAAGACAGTGGCCTGCATGAGGAAGTTATGACAAGGATAAGGTTGACAGAATTCCACAAGGAAGCCAGCCAGACACAGTATGTCAGGAATTGTGGGAATAAACATGAGAAGTCTGGAAAGGAATCCAGCTGGGAAGAGTTGAAAGACACCACTGGAAGAGTTGACTTAGACATTTTTACTAATTCACTTTTACAACTGTTTTGTTCCATCACCTTCTCTTTGGATACTCATTTTACCTTATGATGTGGAGGCAGATAGCCAGAAAATAGGAAGTTTGTCAAGAAAAGACATCCTAGACCCTGCTATTGTCATTGCCTGTGAAATGGTGCATATTTCACCACTGTAGGGACGGCTGTTGCACCATTACTATTGTGCATAATGAAGACCCAGAATCATTAGGAAGAGAAGCAGGACCATAGGTAACCTGTCCCAGAACATTTTACATAAAAATAGGATGAATGCAAAAGTTTAAGGAATATTCCAGTTTCTAAAAGTTTTACAAATTGGCAATGGTAGCATATTCTTTCTTAGCATCTTTGAGAGATCTCAGTAAAATAAGGACTATATTCCATTTTGTATATGTCTTTTCTAGTTGAATAAATTTCTTCACTTTTCCATAAAACAGGGCCCAGAAGGACCTTATGAAGTACTGTGTATGCCAACCTCATTAGTCCCATTAAAAATAATAATAAAACCAAAATAAAAAAACCTTGCCTACTGCTCTTTGTTCTCTTCTACTTCTATTAATGAATCCTCATCTAAGGTTTATTCATGATCTGTGTTAGGCATTTATGAGTTTTTGCCTTTGGCCAACACTGAGTTAATTTGGATAATTATTTCATTTGGTATTGCATTTCTTTGAATTTCTTTGAATATACTCCATGTCACTACTGAAAATAAGTCATTACTGAAGCTATTTCTTGAGCAGTTAGTGTAAAACCTCTGAAGGAAGAATGCCTTTTCTTTACAAAGTTACATTAGACTTATCACCGTTCCTTGAGACCCCTCACACCTTGTGTGTAGCACTGGAAATGGGGCTTAACCTTCTCATTCTGGACAAAGGAGTTTGTTTGGGATAAAACCAGTTTTGTTGATGCTCAGAAACACTTAAAGGCTTTCAGCTTGTCTGGAACATCGTGTCATTTGATGTCTTTCATTACTGTTTGATGAAAAAGAAGCAAGTAACAGAAATTTTAAAAGCCACAAGAGATTAAGGCTAAACATAGCACACTTTAGTTGTAGAGACAAAAATGGCCAAGTTTATGACAAGGGGTGATCCAGGACACTTCCACTGTATGTGTAATCAAAAGCTTAAGAGAAACATATAGACTAAAAATATAGCATGACTTTCAATAATGTGTTAATATAGTTATATTATTTAAAATGTCATTTTTATTTGTATTTCTCATTTATATACTTATACACATATTTTCATCAGATAGTCTTTTTATCTGTCATTAGAATTTCAGGATCAGAGAGTTTAAATGTTTTAAAAGGATTTTAGCTGGGTGCTGGTGGCTCACACCTGTAATTCTAGCTATTCAGGAGGCTAAGATTTGAGGATCATGGTTCAAAGCCAGCCTGGCTAAGAAAATCCATGAGACTCTTATCTCCAATTAGCCACCAGAAAACTGGAAGTGGAGCTGTGACTCAATGTTGTAGAGTGCTATCCTTGAACCAAAAGCTCTAGGTCAGTGCCCAGGCTCTGAGTTCAAGCCCCATGACTGACCCCCCAAAAGAGAAGAGAGTAAAAAATATTATTGCTGGGAGACTAAAGTAGAAAAACAATGAAGCTTGCTTTAAATTTGTCCAGTTGAATATTGACAATGAATTATCATAAAATTCTTCCAACACTTTACTGAGATAATTGGATAAAGTATAACTAATAGCATTAGTGAATGCATAATTAATGACATTAACAAAGGTCATAGAATAACTTTTGATTTTCTGTCTCTTTTTTTAATTTTTAGATTTGTAGCCAAACCATGTGCCATTGCCCTCAACATCCAGGCCAATGGACCACAGATTGCCCAGCCAAATGCCATTCTGGAAAAGGTCTTTACAGCAATTACAAAGGTAGGAGTGTCCTTTCCTGGGTGCCTATGGCCCTGTTACCCTGCTCAGTCTCTTACCATCCCATCTCTTTCTTTTCTCTTGGGTTTAGAGAATCAACATTTTCCCTCCTACTGGAAAGTGGGTTCTCAGGGGGGGGTGCAGGTCTTATGGTTGGTCCAAAAGAGTAGATTGATATTAGAAGCTTTGTGAAAAATGGTCTTGATTAGATATGTTATTCCAATCCAATGCCTTCTTTAGTCGGAGGGACATGAAGCAATCCAGATAAGAGCTGGGTGAGCCTTCAAGTAAGTGAGTGGACAGAGCTGAAGTGTATAACTTGTGTATGTGTGAGACTGTGGGACTGGTGGCTTATAAGTGTCATCCACACATCCTAAGAGTTGTGATAAGTAGACAAAAGTGAGGAATAACAGTAGACTATGTTTGAAAAGGAAGAGTTGCAATATGAAGGAGTGCAATAAAAGAGACAGATACTGTCCATCTAGTGATAGCCAGTGTCCAAACTGGGAGGAGGCACTAGGAAGGAGAGAGGAAGAAAGCCTAAGTTGATAATGCTTGAACTTAGAAATCTTTAAAGCTGGGTCTGGGAAGGTGGCTTAGTGGTACAGTGCTTGCCTCGCATGCATGAAGCCCTGGGTTCGATTCCTAGCTCCACATAAACAGAAAAAGCCAGAAGTGGTACTGTGGCTCAAGTCAAGTGGTAGAGTACTAGCCTTGAGCTGAAGTGCCCAGGCCCAGAGTTCAAGACCCACAACCAAAAAAAGAAAGAAAGAAAGAAAGAAAGAAGAAAGAAAGAAATCTTTAAAGCTGTAAGAAAATAAAGCAAACTACCGTCTATATGTCTTAGTTTCTCTCTCCTTCCTTCCTTCTTTTCCTTTCCCTCCCCCATTCCTTCCTTTATTCCTTTGTTCATTCCTTTCTTCCTTCATCTTTCTCTCTCTCTCCCTCCCTTCCTTTCTTCTTTCCCTCCCTCCCTTCCTTCCTTCATTCCTTTTTCTTTCTTTCTCTGTCTTTCTTTCTTTCTCTTTCTCTTTTTCCTTCCTTCCTTCCTTTCTCTATCTTTCTTTCTGTCTTTCTTTCTCTTTCTCTCTTTCCTTCCTTTCCTTTTTCTTCCTTCCTTCCTTTCTTTTTCCTTCCTTCCTTTCTCTTTCTTTCTTTCTTTCTTTCTCTCTGTCTTTCTTGCTTTCTCTTTCTCTCTTTTCTTCCTTCCCTTCTCTTTCTTTCTTTCTGTCTTTCTTTGTCTTTCTCTCTTTCCTTCCTTCCTTTCTTTTTTCTTCTTCCTTCCTTCTCCTTCCTTCCTTCCTTCCTTCCTTCTTTCTTTCTTTCTTTCTTTCTTTCTTTCTTTCTTTCTTTCTTTCTTTCTTTCTTTCTTTCTTTCTTTCTTTCTTTCTTTCTTTCTCTCTCTCTCTCTTTCTCTCTTTCCTGAAGCTTGAACTCAGTGTCTCATCCCTCCCTCAGTTTGCTTCCTCACAGCTTGTGCTCTATCACTTGAACCATGACTCCCAATTGGAGGGGGTCTCATACACTTTTTCTGTCTGAGCTGGCCTCAAACATCTATCATTCACATTGTAGCCTTCTGAGTGTCTTAGATTATAGATATCAGCCATTGGTACCCAGCTTTATTTTTTTGTTTTTGTTTTTTCCTGAGGCACTGAGGTTTGAACTCATGGCTTCATGTTCACTTACCTTGCTTGCTTGGCTGGTACTCTACCACTTGGGTCACATCATATCTAGCCCTACTCTCACTTTTGTAGATATTGCATGTAGCTTATTTTACTCTTGCCTGAACAGAAAGAAGAAAAGAGGATGACTGTAACATTCTGTGTGTTCTGATATTAAATGGTTCCTTTTGCTCTTCAGTTTTCTGGAACAATTTCTCAGGCTTCTAAGATGTGGTTTGACAGTGTTAAAGAAAGTTCTGTTCATTTTTGGGTATTTGTGATACTAACCTTTGTCCTATTTGTTCTTTGTCTCACCACTATTCAAATATCTAGATACTTGTATATTTTATGGACTTTATTTCTGCCAAAATGCTCTAGGATTTTGCCATCCTTCAAGAAAAATGATGTCTTTCCTGAAAAAGCATAAGGAAGTAGGAGGTTAAAAATGTTTTAATATCTTTGCAAAGAAAAAGAGAAGAATGGATGAAATTTTAGGAAAAGTTGTTTTAGTAGTTTTGGGGGTACAGTTTAGATTGCTGAGTTCAAACTTGAAGGAACACATATCCTATAATATTTAAGCAAGAAAATATCACATTTTCATTTAGTGTGTCAGTTCACCTTAAGATAGTAACATATTTTCTGTCGTTAGACAGACACATAGGGAATTATTAGGTTCTTTTTTATTTTCCCCTCTCAAATGCTAGGGATCAAGCCAAGGGCCTTCAAATGCTTTGTAAGCATTTGCCAAAGAATGTTGTAATTGGTCTGTTATGTCATGTTAACCAAACCATGGCAATTCTCAGAACAACTTCAAACCTAGGGGCCCCTATCCTAGTGTACACATTGCATTCTAGCCACTAATGTCCCCTTTTCTGCAACCACTGCCTGATATACTGGCTTGGTCATGGGAATGGCAGAAAAATTCAGGTAGGCCTCTCCCTTGTCTCCTGGACCACTGCCCCTACCCAAGGCAGACAGATAAGTTTCATGGCTGCCATCTTGAAATTCTACATGACTTTATCATGCAATCTGTGCTTTGCAAGTGAAATCCAATGAGGCAATGGAGAATGTTTCAGAAATTGAGAGACTGGCTCATGTGGCTCTTGCCACAGCCCCAGAGAGGCTCCACCTCACGGATGCCCTGATTCCCAGCACCCACCTACCTTTCTTTTGTGTCCTATTTAATTACAGCTTTAATCTCCAACAAGGGGGCTGCTTGGGGTTTGGCTTATTCTTCTTGAAGTACTTCTGTATGTGGCAGGCAGCCACCTTAGTGTGTTTGGTGGGTGACTTAGCAAGGGTGAGCCTCTTGCCTAACTGGGCCCTTCTGAATGTGGGGCCTGCCCTATGTGACTGTATTGATCAGCTTCCTGACTATACAAATCTCACCTGAGACAGTGGCTGATATATTGAAGCTTACAGCTTTTTTTGATGGTTAATTTGAGATGAGTCTCACAGATTTACTGTTCAGGCTGCCTTCAAACTATGATCCTCAGATCTCAGCCTCCTGAGTAGCTAGGATAACAGGCGTGAGCCACCAACACCAGGTATGGGTTTGTAATAATTGAAGTATTTCTCATGCTTCCTGGCATTAGCTTTTGTCTAGTTTCTTAACCTTAGTAGACTTTGTTTCTTAACCTTTAAACTCATTTGTAATCATCTTTGAGTAACTTCCTCACAGGCTTTGATAAGTTTTTTTTTGTTTTTTTGTTTTTTTTTGCAAATCTTTCAGCAAATGGCATGGTATCTATCTGGGAAGCATTGTATATCTAGAGATTCTGGTTCCATATTTTTGGGATGAGACCAAAGAACCATAATTGTGACACCAAATAAACAGAATGATTATTTATTTTAAGTGAATTTGTTGATTGCCTGTTTGCTGATTATATTCTGAGTTATGTGGATTGATCTGTCTCTACCTATCACCTAACTATCTACTTTTGGGGATTCTCTTTCTATGTCACTAGCACATATCTATGAAACCAACTACTTCACTTTTCTAATCAAAGAAGTACTAAAGCTGTGAGGGGAAGAATATATAGCAGCCATAAAGGCAGTTTTCATGGCCCAGGGAAATTATATCATAATTCATGCTTGGTTCAATAGACTATACTTAAAAAATTTGGGCAGACTATATAATTTGCTCTCCATTCTCTTCTTTTTTGAGGAGCCTGTTAAATCATTGCTGTTAGCCAACTAAAATACTGGAAAAGTTTGTGAGTTTTGAATACACTTAAACTCTAAAACTAAGAGAGAGAGAGAAAGAACAGATTATTAATGTTGAATGTTCTATAAGGTTGAGATGAAATAACTTTCACTGAGGGGAAAGGGAGAAAAGGTGAGAAATAAAGTTTACTGACTGTAATCTCTACTGTGTGGGAGTTAGTTTATCAGTTAAGGCTAGCAAATCAAATAGAAGCCTATTTAACAGTGGGTGAACAAGAAAGATAATGTTATTTACAAGTACAGGGTGGAGGAGAAGGAAGGAAGAGGAAATAATGTTATTTTTAAATATTGCTTATATGAGATTGGGCTGGCAAGTGGATAAGAAAAGATAGTAAGATATAAAAGTCAGAAAGGAAAGACAAAACTCTTGCTATTTAAATAAGTATTTATTGAGTTCTACTATAATGGATGCTGATGGAAAAAAAAGAATTTTTGAAAATTCCTTTGTCTATGGAGCTTACATTTCAGTGATATTCTATTACATATCATATACATGGGAAGTTAAAGCAATGGATTGATAAATTACCACATGAAACCTCAGTACAAAATTAGCAACTAGAAGCTAGACATATATATGTATACATAGAAACAACAATCAAGTAAAAGATTTTAAGAAAGTACCCTCTTTACAATGCTAACCAAAAAGAATAATATCCCTAGGAATAAATATAATCACCATATTCAAGAAGTATGTAAGGAAAAAAATTATTAAACACTCTTGAAAGACAGAAAAGACAAATTAAATAAAGATGTTAGTTCATCCTACATCAATTTAAGAACTTGATGTGATCTTATAAAGAACACCCAACCTTGTTTGGTTGACCATTTTTTGTTTTGAATGTAGATGAGCTGATTCTAAAGTTCACATAAAAAATAAAGACTTCTATTGGGTACCAATAATTCCCACTGTGAGCCTATCTACTACAAAGGTGGACATTAGTAGGATCAAGACCATCCCAGTTTCAGTAGACCCTATCTTAAAAGTTACCAGCAAAATATCAGGGCTGGAAGTATGGCTCAAGTGGCAGAATGTTCAAATAGCAAGCAAGAGACCTTGAGTTCAAACCCCAGTACACACACACACACACACACACACACACACACACACACAAATAAGTGTTTCTAAGAAAACAAATGACATACTGCATATTGTTGACATATGACTAAATCGACCTTATCAATGAGGGAAAGGTGAAGTATAACCATATGGAAGAAAATTAGATTCATACTTCAACTGAATACCAGTGTATATTTCAAGTACACTAACAATTGACTTGCCAAGTACCAGTGGCTCATGCCAATAATCCTAGCTACTTAAGAGGCTGAGATATGAGAATCAGAGTTCAAAGCCACCCTGGCCAGACATGACTCAGGTGGTAGAGTGCCAGCCATGAGCAAAAAAGCCAAGTCTAAAAGGCCCTGGGTTCAAGTCTTAGTATTAAGAGGGAAAAAGATTTGATTGTATTAAAACCCAAAATATGTTAGGGGGAAAACCTAGGAGATTTTGTTTTTAGAGTAAAGAAGGTTTTACTAATTAGAATTCAAAATTTGCAAGCTGTTTCAGCAAAGATTGACAAATTCAAACTTGTTCATATATATTTTATGGTACTAGGATTTGAACTCAGGGCCCATCTAGGCAAATAATTATTCTATCACTTTGGCCATGCCACTATTTTTTGCTCTAGTTATTTTTCAGACAAGGTATTGTGATTTTACCCAGAGCTTGTTTCAAACCATTATCCTCCAATGTATAGCCTCAAACTAGCTAGGACTTACAGGCATGTGTATACATTTTAGTAAATATCTACATGTTAGATAATAAACAAAAAATAATATATTCAAATTTTAAAACACAGAAACCTACTGGTATAAACCAGAATAACAGAAGAAATCCTACGTATCAATAAATGCCAACATATCAAGAAAAAAAATCCATAGGCACAAATGTACTTTTAACAAGAAAACAAAGAAAAATATCGGTTGTTTTCTTTTTTGTCCGTACTTGGGATTGAACTCAGGCCTTAAACATGCGAGGCAAGTGTTTCACTCTTGAACTATACCTCTAGTCTTTTTATTTTTATTTTGTTTTTGAGTCAGTGTCTCACTACTTTTGGCCAGACTGGCCTCAGATTTGTGATTCTCCTGCCCCTTACTCCCGTGTCTCGGATTACAAGCATGTACCACCATGTCTTTCTTTGTCAGTGATTTTTAAAACACATGAAAAACACATTGTAAAATGAAGAACTCAAAGTTCAGAACAAAGTCTATAGTTTGCATTCATTTGTGTCGTGAAGTGGAGATTAAAATAACTCATATTCAACTTTGATTATGTTTATATGTAATATAACTGTAAATATTAATAATATTAATATCGTATATAAAGTAACTGTTGTTGCCATTAAGGAGAGGTATTGAGGGACTAGACAATAGAAGAAGAGGTGTATGGAAAACTCTGGACAATATTTTTTTCTTTGTGTGCCAGTCCTGGGGCTTCAACTCAGGGCATAGTTGCTGTCCCTGAATTTTATTTCTAGTGTTCTACCCTTGAGCACAACTCCACTTACAGCATTTTGGTGGTTAATTGGAGATAAGAGTCTCTGGGAGTTTCTTGCCCTGACTGGCTTTGAACCATGATCCTCAGATCTCAGTCTCCTGAGTAGCTAGGACTATAGTATGAGCCATTGGTGCCTGGTAGCAATCCTTATTTTCATAGACAAGGAGACTGAGAGTCAGAGAAGTCAGAGTAATGAGGGACATCTGTCCCCTCATCAAGTTTGCTTCTGCAAGTAACCTGTAATCTCAGCAAAAGGCTGGATGAGTGAGATGGTCAAAAGAAAAGGTAACAGAGGATATATATATATAACATGTGTACATCTATGATCAAACAAAGGATCATACATATGTAAGGCATTACATACACATATGAAAAAGTCATCATGAAGCCTATCAAAAGTGTACAAGAAGAAAAAAAGGGAGATGACCAAGAAAAGGAGTAGGAGGTGAGAGGAGGATGAGAGAAAGCATTTTTGGTGCTAGAAATGGTACTTTCGGCTCAGGTGAGGCATTAAGGATCTCATGGTTTCTGTCTGTCCTACATTATCCAGGTAGGTAACAGGTGGTTATACCAGTTGTTTTCCTGAGAATATGTGATTTTTTTTTTGTTTTAACTTGGAGCCTCTTAATAGATTCTCCTTTACCACACTCCCTCCCCTGGAAAGCTCATTGATCTGCCTCAGCCAGTAGGTTGCATCATCAAGTCCTGGTTGTCTCTGAGAAAGGACCTCATCGATGAGAAGAATTGCAGGCATCTGAGCCACAGCCGTATATTTCCATCTCATTTCATAATGAGTAACTTAATTTTGCAAATTTACATCCATGCTGCTAATGACACTAGATCCTGAAATCTCAGTAGCAGATAAGAAACATAGAAAAAAATACAGAAACATGCAAAGTAGATCTACTTTGCTGAAAATAAAAAAGGATTGAGAAATGATTGTCCTGGTATCTTGTCTCAGCATCCAGATGAGAAAAGGTTGGAAGGCCTTTCCAAACAACTGGACTGGGATGTTCGAAGCATTCAGCGCTGGTTTCGACAGAGACGCAACCAGGAGAAGCCCAGCATCCTCACAAAGTTCTGTGAGAGCATGTAAGTTTTGCTCCTTATTTCCCTTCTTTTTGAATACCTGCCTCAGTATCTATTCATACCTGAGGTAAATGGTAACAGTTCCACATAGTTTCCTATTTCTCACATGCTGTTTGGTGGAAAACTAGTTCTGGGGGAAATTAGGGGAAATTATAAGGATTGGGGGTTTCTTGTTGGGAAATTCATTTCTTAATGAAGTTCCCACAAAATAAGTAGATTACAGAAGTCTACCATGATATTTTCAACTAGCTGTCTTGGAAGTATAGCATTAAAAGTCATTAATCCCAATAGTTTTAGAATTTTTTCAAGACTTTTTTATTGTAAAGGTGATATGCAGAGAGGATACAGTTACATAAGTAAGATAATGAGTACATTTCTTTTCGAACAGTGTTACCCTCTCCCTCATTTTCTCCTGCTTCCTCTTCCCAACTCCCCTCCCCACAAGACTGCTTTTTTTCCATTGACAAAAATCAAGATCTTAGGATAAATGATCAGATGGATCAAAACTGTTCTATAGTCTTGAAATTTGGGAAATCTTAAATTTACATTCTATTCTGGGTGAGGTTAATGAGGCTTTGCCTGAGGTAAGAGTTACAATGAAAGTCTATTCTGTTTCCAGTGTGAACTTTGTGTCCTCTGTTATATGTTATAAAGCTGTTAAATCTAATGAAAGCTCCTCAAAGCAATCTTCTAGCTCAGCACTCGGGGAAATCAGAGAAGAAAATATTAAAGCATGGAGCACAGCTCTAGTAAAGGGAAGATGTTACCTGAGAGTCTTAGCTCCATTTGGTCGGTATCTTTTGTTCTTTTGCTGAATAATTCTTTCTTTTATGAACTTTGTTCTGACACCTGATAATTTAAACAATAGTGCTCTCAGTATAGCAAGCTGTTTGAGATAGTTATATTTTCAGGTTTAGCTTTCAAGTAGGCCAGAAAAAAAATGTATCAATTATAATCTGAGAGAGAAACAATGATATTGGAAAGTGAATGGGAAGCAGAATAATATCACAAATTCCCAGGGTTGGATAAATATGAAGAGAATAAATAGGATCTCAGGAGGCCAGAATATTTATAAAAATCTATAGAAAGAGCTAACTATTAGATATACTCTACAAAGCCACCCTATAATTAAACACAGTGGCTGTTTGTGGAAGGATGTATACATCTGTGCTTCTGATAAATAGCTGCATTTCCCCTGACCTCACCTTGCCACATATGCAGAGGACTGGACTCCATCATGAGTTCAGGCAGCAGTGAAACTTGTCTTTGGCATGCGACCACATTGTTGTTGGGGGTTTTTTTTTCCAGATGTGCATTGGCATCTGCTTTCTGGAGATCTTTGTCAAATGTAGATTCCAATTTACCTGGTCTGGGATGACAGCTAGGGTTCTGCATTTGTAACAAGTTTACAGATGATACTGGTGATGCTAGTTCCTGAAAACATTGTGAGTAGCAAGGACCAAATGATATATGTTGATATCTTTTCCTGGAATTTCCCTGAGTTTTATGTATGTACCATAGTAAACAAGACAGTCACATGACAGTCAACTAAAAATATGTCTAATAGAAGCATGGTAACAAGAAGGACAATGGGGGGGGTCCCTACATAAAGTATTCATTATGATTTCCCCCGCAAAAACACATTTATTAGGAGGATAAGCCCTGATAGTTGATGGTACATGGTAGGTATTAAATGATAATGAAATATGTTTTATGGAATCATTAATGTGGACCATTAATTACTAAAAATTAAAAGAAAAACTTCTGTGGGTTGGAGGCATGTGGGCTTGCTTGGTCAATGCCAGTGGCCTATCTCAGTTTTGCTGTGTAAGACAGTATTGAGCTCTTGCTTGGTGTTCTCTTCTCCCTTGGCTTCAGGTTGGCAGTTGAGTCTTTCATCTTACCAAATACTTCTGTTTGCCTCATTTATTCTCCATTTCTCCTGAAGTCTTCTATGTGCTACTCCTCCAGACTTAGTCTTCAGCCTCTTGCTTTCTACTTCTCATTTTCTGTGCAGAAACTGTTTCTTCTCATCAACTTCATCCAATGCGGATGTATGGTTTTGCCCTCTCCCACTGGCAACTCCAATTTGCTTCCACTCCTCTTTCCCTAGTGGTTATGTGCTCTGCTTTATAACAGGCCAGAAACTCCAGGTACTCAGCCACTAAGTAAATAGACTACTATATCCCAGATCCTGATCACCCTTCTAAGTCTCCCCACATTCTGCTTCTTTAAAACCTTGATGATTTTTCTATAACTCTAAGATATGTAGAAGCTTCTCAGTTTGGCCTGGTTAGCCTGGCCTTCGCTTGTTTGAAGTTAGTCCCTCAAATAACCTCTTTCTTCCTACAGGCTGTGTTCTAGGCTAAAAATACCTACTTCCTCTGCTCACACATTTACCCCCTCCCCATTTCTGAAATCACAGCACCCCACTGAAGGAAGCCTGATTGTGGAGTCTGTGGTGAACTAATTTCTGAATCCTCAGAACATTTTTTATGAATATCCATAATGTAATATTGAATCACATGTTGCTTTCTGGGGTTACTTTATTTCTCAATTTGGCTATGCTTCTATTTCCATGCTAGTTATAGTACAGAAGAGGGTCAGGGTCACATCTTGCTGTTACATTCTTCTCAGTCTATAACATACAGACTCTGCTGAAGAAATAATTAAGTGACATGTGAACATGGCGCTTTTCTGGAAGGAGGTGCTGACCCCGGTTGCCGTTTGGTTCCACAGTGAAGAATTCATATATACACTGACTTAGCAAAACATTTTCTGACAAATTACCTGAGTCTGAAAAGCTCCACAACAGTTTTACAGATAGAAATTCAAAGGAAAGAACCCAGTGTGGTAGTACACACCTGTATTCCTAGCTATTTTGGAAGGGAGGGTGGGGAGACTCCTTGAGTCCATAAGTTTGAAACAAATCTGTATAACATAGATTCTATCACAACACAACACAAAAACAAAACAAACAAGGAATTCAAAGGAAGAATGGCTTGCCAAAGGACACCATGAAGAGAATATCCCACCCTACTGTGTCTGGTCCAGTTGAAGGATGCAGGTGGCTGTCTGGACATGCTTACTCTGGGAAAAATGTCCCATGTGCATATCACACAGAATCCTTACTTCAAAATCAATGACTAGCTGGGAGCCAGTGGCTCAGGAGGATGAGATCTGAGGACCATGGTTCTAAGCCAGCTGGTGAGCAAAGTTTATAAGACTCTTATAATTAACCACCTTATTAACCACCAAAAGCCAGAAATAGAGCTATGCCCAAGTGGTAGAGCACCATTTTTGAGCAAAAAATCTCATGGGCTGGGAATGTGGCTCAGTAGTAGAGTGCCTGCCTAGCATACATGAAGCCCTGGGTTCAATTCCTTAGTACTACATAAACAGAAAAAAAAGTGGAAGTGGTGCTGTGGCTCAAGTGGAAGAGCACTAGCCTTGAGCACAGAGAGGCTCAGGGACAGAGATTAGGCCCTGAGTTCAAGCCCCAGAACCTGCAAAAAAAAAAAAAAAAGCTAGGGAACAGAGCTCAGACCCTGAGTTCAAGCCCCAGATGAGCACCAGAAAGAAAAAAAAGATAACTGCTATTCTGAAATATTAATATCAAATTACAAAGCAGGGAAGACATATAGTAGAAACTTGAAGATAATACACAAAGACATAAAGAATTTATAATTTTCCTATTATGTGAGTTATTTTCCAAATATAGACTCCCTTTGCAGACATTGTGTTTCATCTTTCACCAGTGTGGAATAGTACCAGTATGCACACCAAGCAATGCTCATAAGCATCTGCTGACACATCCAGATTTGGCACCCCTATTTAATGCAGATGGATGGAGTAGAAGAAGTTGTTCAGTAAGTGATGTGCAGAAACATCAATGTCATTTTTCCCCTCTAACTGGATGTCAGTCATCCACAGCTGTATCAGTTTTGATGACGATTTTTTCCAGCAGAGTTTATGTACTTATAGGCAACTGAAATGGGACTTTTCAAGAGTGAGAGAGAAGAATTTATAAAGTGAGACATCATGTGAAATATTTCAGGAGAATATCATTCAGAATGGAGGCCAATACTGGTTGGATCATCCTGAACTCACACCATTCTTCCACAATTGCAACTGAGTTGTACATTTTAGAATCCAGGACAGCATAAAGTAAGTACTATCTGCAGTAAGAAAAATCAGGATGAGCAGGGTGCTGGTGGCTCACGCCTATAATCCTAGCTATTCAGGAGGCTGAGATCTGAGGATTATAGTTCACAGCCAGCCTAGGTAGGAAAGTCCGTGAGACTCTTATCTCCAATAAACCACTCGAAAACTGGAAGTGGCGCTGTAGTTCAATCAGTAGAGTGCTCACCTTGAGCTGAAGAGCCCAGGGACAGCACCCAAGCCCCACAACCAACAAAAAGAAAAAAGAAAAAAAAAGAAAAGAAAAATCAGGATGAAACAGAAATAGGCAGATACATGACATTAAGATAAATGGCTCCCTTGACATGTGTCTACCTGTGCTCATATATTTTGATCATGGTTCATCACATTTGAACAAATGCCAGGGGGTAATTATCTTATATAGTTTTCATTGAGCAGTTTCCAATTGTCTGGGAGAAAGAATTACTCATGTGGGAAGGATTGCTCACATATTAGAGATTGGTACTAATGTATGTGAACTGGAGTTTCTATGTTAATGAACTTATGGAACCTGATATTTAAAAAAGATAAAGTACACAAATTTCCTTTGCTTTAGGAAACCATTCCAGAGTTGGTGTGGATTAAAACTATCCCCGAAGGATGCCATTTTTGGACAGTGCCAAAGCCATTTGAAACTGTGACCTTACTTCTGTAAAGCAGCCTTGTGATTCTCTTAATCCTGTTAGAGTCAGGAGAGCTCACTAGTCATAAATGAGTGGCTGAACCAATAGCTGCATTCCACCAGCTTGCTCTCTTGAATTAAGCAGATGTTGTTGCTTGGATAACCAACACTATTTTGTGAC